TATTTCCTTTAGCTGGAATCAGTAGCAGTCTCTTACTCACTATGCAGACCAGCCACCAGGGACATCACACAGTACATTAAGCCAGCATGTTATACCCCTTGTATTTTCAATTAGAAAAGGTATCCTCACTTTCCGCCTTAAGCTGCTGTGCAGCAGAGATGTGAAGCTACTCTCATGAGAGCCAGGAGTGGCTATTCAGGCTGTGCGAAGCTTTGCCAGCTGTTTTGTTTTGACACTGTTTTAACTCGTTTCAAGCTCAAAACAGTGAAATCGAAATGAAACAAAGGGCTTCGAAACAGCCTCGAAATGAAACGAGGCCAATTGAAACGTTTCAAGTTTCAAAGCAGCAGCCAGGTGCTGGGAGGCGCTCTGAGCAGCTCTGCAGCCCCAGGTGGCTCAGCCTGGTGGGGAGGGCAGACCTGGCTTTCCCTGCTTCCCAGTACCTGAGCGGTGAGCCCAGTGGAGGGAGGCGGAACACAGCCCCAGCACTGTGCACTGCCTCCCTCCACCGGGCTGCAAGCCACTGGGCAGTGAGCCCAATGGAGGCAGGTGGTGCACAGCCCCGGCACTGCATGCCGCCTGCCTCCACCGGGCTGCAAGCCACCAGAACTGAGCCCGGTGGGGGGAAGTCAAGTGCAGCACTGAGGCTACACTCTGCCTCCCTCCACCGGGCTCATCTCCCAGCGCCAGTCTCAGGTGGCAGCAGCAGCATCCTGTCTGCACCCCCGGAAGGGCTGCAGGGCTCTGCTGGACTCCTCTGGGCCCCCAATCTGCCTGTGATCACAGGAGGCTGCTCCTCCTCCAGTTTTGTGCTTCCCCATTATAGCCTATGGGTGAAACTTCAAAACAGCAAAACTGAACAGTGCTTTTGAAACTAAACTAAACTCGAAAAAAAACACTGTTCTGTCGAAACATTGAAACAGAAGCTGAAGCAGAACGGTTTCTCACAGCCCTAGTGGCTATACTTCAGCTGTTGATGACTGACTGCTGTGGGCTGTTTACAAATTGAAATGATCAACAGCAATCGACTCAACATTGTAGGCAAATTTGCCTGTTAGAACATGCCATCTCCCCACATCACATCTGTTCACCATGAAATACTGTAGGAAATTAATGAGTCAGCAGTGCTCAACATTTGTTACAGATTCTATGATACTGAAAGGATAGGAAAACAGGTGAGGTAGTGGCTGGAGCTAACAAAGCATGTTGTTAATATATTTCTCTGTTTTATATCCTGATGAAACCCTATTAGTTAAAACAATTTCTATGTCTATTATTATACTTAGATTTTTTTTCAATCCATGAATTCCCATATCAAAGGTCACAACCCCTCAGTAAATTACCAGTACTTGATAATCATCTTAAGTGATTTTACCATTAATAGCAATGTCTGAATCATTCTTTAAAGGCACTGGAGAAAAATAAATCAAAATTATTGTAACTGAATGCCCTCTAGCATTAAGCTAAATTGAAATGCTTTTTGAGATAGGAAGTGGTTTGTATAACCCAAGTTAAAGCAAATGCAAACACTTATGTACAATGCAGGCATTACTTACTTACAAACAGAAGGCTGTGTGCAACAGTGGTAATCTGATACCCTGGTAATCTGACAAACCAAGTTAGGCTACAAACCCCTTTAAAATTTGTAGGATTACTGATTTCAAATCAAATTGCTCACGTTCTACAAGAAGGTCTGTTTACCAGAAAAAAAATGCTTATTGAGTTATTAGCTTCCTACCGGGCCTCTAAATAAAATCATTTGTTTATCCTCAAGATTGTGGATATCAGTTGGGTTTGAACAGGAAGGTTAGATCATGTTCATGCAAAAGAATGCATGCCAAAGAAATACACTGTGGGTGCATCTAGACAAGATGCTTACTGCACAGTGGTTCATTACTACTGCGCAGCAGCACTGCCCGGCACAAACCATGACACGACACTACTGCGCAGTAGTAATGAACTACTGAGCGGTAGTAATGAGCTACTGCACAGTAAGCGTCACCAGGCAAACATGCTGGGACAGACACTACTGTGCAGTAACAACTGCCCAGCAGGCATCTTGTGTAGATATGCCCTGTATAACCGAAGGCTAATCTTTGCAGAAAGATGAAAGAACAATGATCAATACCTACTGCAACTGCTGTTTCTCTGATGATAGTTTCCTAACAGTTTACTACTCGTGGATCCATATATCTGCACACAGGATTGGTGGGAGTTCCCTAAAAAAGCAAAATTAGGAGCATATTAAGACAGAGGGCATTGAAGTCTTGATGCAATCCAGCAACTGATATATTGGGACTAATCTCAACACTTTGCAGATACGGAAGTGGAACTATGAGACCTGTCCTGTACCGCTGCAGAGATGGCTGAAGTCTTGACACTCAGAACTTAGGTAAGTGTGGACTGTCAAAGGGGAAAGGGGTTTGCACGTTTCAGCAACCCTTATGGTACCTTTTTTCTGAAGTACAGATTTATCTTCAACCTTTGGCCCAGCATTACTCTAAATATGTAATGACCAACTTGCATCTTTCTCTTATCTTTTGTCACAATACCTAAAGGAATTTCTGGTGTTACCCCACAGTACTTTTGTTCTTTAATAACTAGTTAACATATTGTTCTTCTGTTATCTCCCCAACAATTCTTGACTATACCCAGGATTCTACAATCTCAATATTATTTTTATTTCAGTTCTGAACTCCTGAAGAAATCCATTAATAACAAAATCAGCTATTGCAGCTTAACTGGCATACTAATCTGACCTGAATAAAACCTATGTTAAGAATAAATTTACACCTTCCCGAGTGGCACAATAGCAGTGTACTGTCAGTGTTCCAGCCACTCAGTGAGCCATTATTGGACTACCAGAGACATCAGCAGTCTTTGAGAAGGAGCTAGATTTACTAAGGTGTTTAGGCACCTACTCTGATTTATAAAAGACGCCTAAGAAGATTAGGTGTCTAATTCCTATTGAGTCAATGACAATTATACACCTAACCCACTTAAGTGCTTTTGTCAATCCCCCAATATGCATATCTGCAGTTTTAGGCACTTAAACACTTTAGTAAGTATGGCCCACGAATCTTGGCTTTCCAGTGATGGTACCTTCTCAGCTATAGCGTTTCTCCAGATTACAGTTGACTGATAAATCTGTTAACAAAGGGTATCTACTACCCTACCCTCACCCCTGCCACAAAGCTTTGTTCCAAGCCTTATATTCCTAATTATAAACTCCACCATGATTATGTTAAATTTACACAAGCCAAACTGCCTCACAGAGCATAGCCTCCCAATCATGGACTCAGTTACAACTGTGCTCACACAGAGCATTAAGAGAATGATGTCAATGACATCTAAATAAAATTCTGTACATCATTATCACTTTTATGCACTAATCAATAAGCTATAATGACATATGCTGCATTTGTGCACACAAACTTGAAATGGGTGAGTGTGCATGCACACACACACACACACACAAGAATCTTCCAGTAAGCTTAACATTACACACAAGGCTTTCATAACCAGGTTCCACGTTAGGATAGTCATTTAAGGAGTAAGGACTTGCTAACACAGTTTGGATACTACTGCAGGCAGCACCACAATCAGCAGACGAAGGCTCAAGAAAATTTGAAAATTGCTGCAGGCATCACTAAGAATGAGAAGCAGCCTTTTAAATTTGAAATGCTGAGACTAGGAACATAGCTTTCACCATGTGCACAGTGACACTTTAAATATGTATTGTATATTTTATGCATATGTTGGGTAGCAGTCTTACTATTGCATCTGTTTTAGTTGTAATACACAAATGTACACATGAAAGAACAGGTAATATTCCAGAGTTTCAGCAAACACAGATACCACATTATACCTTTATTTATTATGATTTACTATGCTGAATGTTAGAACAGAGTTTTACCCTCAATGTGGAAGAGGTAGTGTCTTGGTGGCTCTTTAATATAAATACTTATTTACAAAGTCTGTTCGTTGCACATCTACCCTCTGGAGTCAATGTCTATGTATTCACACACAAATAACATGATGTGTTCTTGTATTAGCAGGAAGAAAAATGCAAATCTCCAAGCAGCTTCATCTCCAGAATGTTACAGGCAATAACAACCTTATTTAACAATTATGCTGGGAAATTGGTGAGGGGAAAAAAATCCTACTGGAGCCACAAGCTCAGTAGCTATAGCAACATGCTTAACTTCTCAGTTGAAGAAATTTCTCCCACTGGTTCAAATAGGATAACCTATCCCAAAATGGATGCAAAGTAGCTGTCATTGCAGATGTGTAGTTTGAGAGAGAGAATACAATCATAAAACTGAATTCTTTGGAACATACAGTGCTCTCTCTTAAAGAAGCCAGAAAGCTACCCTACAGACAGTGGATACGAATGAGGTTTAATTCTTTTACTCTCACAGTTTTAAAAAGCTAAATCATTTATCTCTAAGTTTAATTGTGCCTTTTAACAAATTAGGCTTCACTGAATATCATTATCTGCATTTTTCCCCCTTCTTGTTACAATTCAAAGGCAGCATCTGTTAAAAAGCAAAAATGAACTATTTTCCCCTCATTACACAAAGAGTAAAAAGTCATCCCAAGTTCATACTACTTCAGAAGGTAATTTTCTGTTCATCAAAACAATATGCTGTGTTCATGCCTTTGTGTCCAGTCTTGTAGTCTCATTTTCACAAATGGAGGCTTTGGCTTCTGGATATTGAGTCAAGTCATGCTGCAAAAGCTGCACATCTAAATGATTATTCCACACCAGTATTGATTAAAGTATACATCATAGCATATATTTCTACTGTGTGTATATTGCACATATTAGGTTGCAAATTACAGTCCATTGTAAATGTGTTTCATAACACATTATTCCTAGCACACGCTGAATGACTTCTAAAATGCATGCAGTGCATTGATGTGACCAGACACAGAGATTGCTGAACCCATGAAGGTGCTTTTCATCGTCAGTGGAAGGTCAGAGAGTCCCATCTCTGTCCTGTACCACAAAAGGCTGCTTTAGTCTATGCTTGAAGCTTCCGAGGAGAACCAACACAAAGATGCTCACTACATCAGTATGTGTCCTGACTTCCTAAGCCAGTATTTGACACTGTAAATTCCTATTTGAAATTCCTGGGTTTAATCTTGTGAATCATGTTTGCACACCTAACAGTGCTAAAACCGTGCGTCACCCACAGCCATGGCACTCTGGCTGACAATCACTATCCTAGGTGTCATGGCGCAGGGCTCAGGAGCGGCCGTGATCCCCCTAGTGCCCCTACCATGCCAAGTCGCCCCCTAGCACCCTCTTCTCGCCCACCACATTTTTGATGTCCTATAGTATTATTAATGGGAGGCTGCCTTTCCTGGGGTCCCCTGGACGCGGTGCTGAGCTTATCCTGCCCCCTTTTCTTATGTGCAGTGTTCTGGTGTGCTCCGGTATAACGTAAACAAACACAACCATGAGCCAACTGCCTCTAACGCCACTCTAAGCCAACCCAGCTGTAACCCCAGAATGAGCCTTGTGGCTACAACATACATCCACCGCCACCCTGGCCCTCCTCCAGTACCTCCCTGCCAGGGTTCTCTCTGCCCCACATCATCATCATCATCATCATCATCATCATCAAGGCAGGCAGGCAGGCAGGCAGGCAGGCTGCTCTGCTCTGCTCTGCTCTGCTCTGCTCTGCTCTGCTCTGCTCTGCTC